GTGTGGATTCGAACCCGCGACCCTCAGATTGCGAGTCGACCGCCTTATCCACCTGGCCATGCCGGGCCATAAAAATATAAAAATGGTGCCGTCCCAAAATAATTGCGATATAGTTTACGAGCTTACAACACTAAAATCTGGAGTTCCATTACCCACGGTAGACAGAGTGCAGATATAATCTTGTGTAGCTTTGCATTATGAAAAACAACAAGTTTACAGCAAGAATTAAGAATTTGTTTTCAAAGTATTAATAAGTTAAAATGAGACCAAAATAACAGACTAGACACGGTTGTTACATTATGAAACACCAACACGTTAGTTCAACAAAACATAACTCATGTTGTCATTTATTTCTGTAGAAATGGTCAACTTCTTTATAAACTGAAGTTCATCTGAAGACACATCTACATTAGGCCTAAAGCCAAGACGTAGAATGTTAGGCCTAAGGCCAAGACGTAGAATGGTTCACAGTAGACATATCTTATTTGTCTTGAAAGTTTTTATATTTTACTATTCTTACGAAAATTATTTTGCGTTGTTAGCTTTTATAGGGATTTTAGGGCTAACCAAAATATCCTAAGCTGACGAAGCTGCGGGAGATATCGTGGTTTTCTCAGCTATGTGAACTAATTTCCTCAGAAGTATCAGAAAGATAGATCTGCTATCAACAGCAGGGCCGAACAGAACATTTATGAAGTAGTCTGTGTTTGAAAACTTGACTGAGCTTTCTTGTGTGAGAAATAATATAATTGGACAAGTTTTGAATTAAACAAACACTATATTTATTATTAAACAAAAAAGAAAACGCAACATGCATACTTGCACAGATAGGACCACAGTCAATTACCTACTAAGCAGTGTTTAGTCACGCAGCTTTCACTCTCTCAGGACTGACCTCCATAGAACTAAAACACGAACTTTACTCCAAGATCTCCTAATAAAACTGAACCAAGAAAATGCACCTGAATTCAACAGGTATACTCATTTTTTTGTTGTTGTTGTTGTTGTTTTGTTTTTTTGTACATCCAACGGCATCACCTCGTAAACTTTGTTCTCTCACAGCATTGGTCAGCTGTAACATATAGACAACATCAACTAGAACAAGGTAACTTCAAGATTTTCTGGACAATATGCTTGAACTACAAATGCGTAAAAACTAAATAAGTTATTTTTTCACTTCCTTTATTACTTACTAAAAGCAAGCGGAAAATATCTGATGATCTAAGTATCACAATATTATTATGATTATGGGCAAAATATATATTGATAATAGCAGGAAGGAAAAGTGCATTCTAATTATCATACAAATGTTGTTTTTTTTGTGAATATTTAATGAAATTATATACTCTTAGTTAATCTGTTAAATAAAAGTAGCTACATTATTTCTTAACGTAATTTTAGTTGTGAGTTATATAAATAGCTTGCTTTGGTGTAAAGTTATAAATAATAATCACAGAAACGTGTACTAAAATCGTTAAAGTGTAATGTCTGCTGCTGACTGAGTCTTAATAGTGTAGCGATTAATACTTAAAGTCTTAGATGAGAAGAAACTCGACGAATGTAACACAGACAGTGCTTTTCATCAAAGATTTGACACAGTGTAAAACTGGCCATTTATAAGACCGAGTTAAATTTGAAGCCAAGAACTTGATCAGTTATGTTGACAATCTAAAGTGACCTCATAGGTTTTCAGGTTCACTTATATCCCACAGATAAGTTTAAAACATCCAAAAAATGAAGATTCCAGAAATGCTATGCCTTACAATAAATCTGAACCAGACAGCAAAGGAAGAACAAACAAATACAAATGAATAAATAAAAATATATTCACTAAAATGGTGCTTATGTTTATCACCAACTGGCCAGCTTCCTATTCACTTAATTGACTGCTGGAGCTGGAGAAGATTTCCAAATGTCTGCACAAGAAAAAGGAATAAATAAAATCATGACTAAGATTAATATCCAGAATTGTGTAGATATCCCACTTCTATAGTTGGGCAGAAGCCTTAGAGTGGTATCTTACAATTCATTAGGCTACATACCTCATTCAATAATATACATACAGTTCCAAGCCAATTTATACAAGTTCCTGTGTCACATGCTTGAATTGGCTCATTTCAAACTTATAAACGAAGTCTGTAGTATATAACATTTATCTGGTTTGGGTTTATTGAAGTTAAGCACAAAGCTACATAAAACATTTTCCTGTGTAAAAGGATCAGCCCATGACAGAAACGACAAAGGCAAACACAAAATATTCATCAACTAGTTGAAATGAATTAGAATGAAGTAATCCAAAACAAAATGGGATTACGGTTCAATTCAAATGAGAATTAAATAAATGTAGAATAAAAATCAATTGCTATACAAAATACAACTGCAATCAAAATTTTTTAAAAAATCACAATATAACAACCCAAAATTTCTATACAAAACTGGATGTAAACAAATTCAAAATTTAACCATAAAATAAACTTATTATACCTTCCAATTGTTTTGAAATGCAGAACAGTAAAAAAATCTGAACATAAAAAACAATGAAAATAAATTGGAAACAAAATTCAGAGATGCATATAAGCTACAACATTATAACATAAGTTAGGAACAAAACATAAGTAAAAACCTTGTTACAGAATTAAAGATGGGTGAAAACACAAATCACGCATTTAAATATAAATAAGTATAGTTTTCAAATTAAATGTTACCTTTAAACAAATGTAATTAAAAGAAATCAGGGAATAAAATATAATTTCGGGTAAGTTAAACAAAACTAAATACAAAACTCGAAGTGAAACAATGAAAGAAGTTTTAAAACAAACTAAATACAATACAATATCAAAATGTTTTCAAAACGATTTCAACTTTATGAATCTATATCAACAGATCCAAATGCAAACCCTCTATTTCACTCTATGGGTGTCCTTAAGGGTGCCTTTGAAGTTTGGTAAAGATCGACAGAATAGTATGGATAGCACATAGGAGCCTCCAGGGGTCAGTGATCATTTATGTCACTCCTGAGGATCCTGAGGGTACAAGTAAAATTTAATTGAGATTGATCAAAAGCTACAGTCATAAAAGGCAGACATACAGACTGACAGAAGCCTCCAAAGAGTCATATCTGATTTTTGACCTCTCCTATGACATAAAAGGTGGACATAGAGACATCAATTCTACTTTATAGATGCTCGCACACTACATTCTGTACCTCTCAAAAGGATGTCAGAAGGCTTTTGAGTTTCCCTACATACAGCCACTTTTCCAAAGAGATTTGATGGATAGCCCTTTTTAGACCCTTGCATATTCTTCCTAAAGCTGTTGGTTTATCTTAGAGTCATTCTTACCAATCTCTGGAGACTCCTCGCTGTGGGTTTAATTTGGCCTGGCAGAGGGCACACGTCTCTGTCTGTGGCTCGTTTAATTTCCCAATATGGCATCAATGAGTCCTTCTGGAATAGTCTTCAGTGGTGGTAGCTCCTGGATTAACACTGGTGTAGACTTGAAAATACTAGCTAGAACAGTTCTAACCATTTCAACAAACAAGGACGTTTTGATGTTGGTTGTTATCAGAAACCCTCCTAAACCAGACGATACACCCATTTTAACAGTTTCGTTCCACTTCATTTCAAAGAAAACCACGTGAATTGACTTACATCTCATACGCACGTATCACCAGTTCCCTGGATCTTTTACAGCGAGAGTTACTAAAACTAAAATCTGTTTTAACACTTAACTCCTTTCTGAACTACATTATTGATTCTACCATCAATAAAACCGTTCAGCAACTACATCTACCCAAGTCATTGAATTATGACGTCCCAAAGCTACATACAGGTAATAATTTCTTTCCGTACTCCGGCTCACACTCATGAACATTTCTAAGAAGAAACTATACAACATAATCAATAGTGTATATCCACTAGGTAAAGCCGAAAATGAGAGTATGCTACGGATAAAGGAGACGCTTCTAATACTACAGATGAAGCTTCGATTAAACAATCAACAGACAGCTACTGAATTTTTATTCTCAATTTAGATAATTGAACTTTATTTAAACTTTCACGCCCAACTGCATAATTTTGGTTTGAGTTAGAAAAATAGAAAAAATCAGGATTTCAGTTTGTCAACTTTATTGCATATTTTGGAATCTTTAACTAGTAGGCCATATTATACATCACAACTTTCATATTTCGTGCTGTTAAATGATACAATAAAAATGTATTTCTTTGAATTTATTTTCAGAATGGTCCCTTTAAAGGGTTATAAGCACGAAGGTAAGGCAATATAGACTACAGACTACACCATCTGCTAACTGTTCATTTATTGGTTAAACTGGTGGACTGTACGCGGAAGTAGTGAAATTTGTAAGCTGTACTTTAGGGATAGTAGTTTTTTGTATGACGCATAACAGTGTATATACTATCAGTTAAAGACGCTAACATTTATTATCCTTTTCACACAATTTTTTCTTATTCTTTTTGAGCATATATGACACGCCCGAATTTCAAAAGTTTTTATTATATAGGATAGGTTATGACGCAAAGAAAGGAAACGGGAAATAAAAGCTTCACTGACGTAGTCGCGTGTGTCAGAAGTTGTCCGGATAGACTGTGTTTTTGTTAAGCTGCTATAACTTGCAGCGTTATGTAAGTTACTTCTTATCATTGTGTAGTACTTTACGTTTAAGTGGTTTAATGATATTGATTTAATGTTGACTGAAGTGTAGATAACAAGTGATTGATTTCTTCACAAGCTTGACTACTATCACATTGGTCCACAGCACTAGTTCAAGTAATTGTAGCAGTGTAATATCACTTAAAACTAAGTTAAAGTTAATATTATTACCGGTACAGTAACACTAACAGTGTAACATTGTAAGTTGTAACTTGTAAGTAATATTGCTGAAAACGAAACTGTCATTCTAACGTTTACTGAATTATGTTGCAAGTGATGGTTGTACTATAGATACCGTATGTCATTTTAAAAGTTAACATGTCTAATTGGTGCAGGTTATTTGTGCATTAATACTGTGTGATTTTATATTGTATGTTTACCAAAAGCTATAATTATAATTTTTTGGTCCAGACGTAAGTTGGGGCTTATACAGTCGCTGTATCCAGTGTCTGTATCTGCCCACTTGTACCTTTTCATGTACAAGTTACAAATGTGAGAATATTACCAAATTTAGTAATAAACAACATTTAAAAAAAGAATCAATAAGATATCAATGATTTAATAAGTTATAAAATAGGTTTTTAAATTATGATGATAGAAAGGGAGTCAGTGAAGAGTCAGAAAGATTAATAATAATAAAGCATTAAAGTAACGAGAGTTCAAAGATTGTTCCATTAAACAGTTCTCTGGTGTAAGTTAAAACAAAACAGCAGGAAAACTAAAAGCCACAGTTGTTTTTATATGTTGAATGAAATACTGTGTTAAGCAAATCCTTTGCATAGAATGAGCACAGGCTATGAAATGGTTTGTATTTTATGCAAACTAACAAGTTTTAAATCTTAAGTCTTTAAGCATATCTCATTCCCAAAAGGTGTTAGTTGAAAGTTCAGTTCATAAAACTCGGTATTACTGGTAAAAGTAAGATAAGGGTGTAAAAGTTAAAGGATACAGAACTAAAAAGTTACATAGACTTTTTGAAACATTTTATAAATATTTCATCAGTAGTGTGAAGAATCTGAAAATAGAGTGAAAGAGCCTAAAAAAAAAACCTAAAGTTGTGATCTAAATCTTAAGGGGAACTCTGAAAGAACGTGAAGAGAAACTTGAGAGTGACATTACAAGAATGGTCTAGAAAAATGGAACAACATAACTATGAATGTAAAAAGGTTGTTAAAAATAACAACATTAAGAATGATTTCAAGGATCATGAGAAAGTTTATGTAAATCCTGTGGATTAAGAAAAAAAAATTGGTTAGATTAGATTTCAGCCAAAGAGACGCAAGTGTCATCGGACACTGTCAACATCCGATGGGTAAAATTGAATTTTCTGACGGATGCTGGCAGCATCCTCTCAGGTTTAAAGAGTTAAGGATGCATGAAATGGAGCACCTTAAAGCATTTCCCAGGATCCCCCAAAAATGAAAAATATTTTCCTTAGGCTAGTGCTCGTCCCCTTAAAGCCTTGAGCTTATGAAAAAATGTGATGTTTATTTTGAATGGGGTTCTTGAAGGAAAATGGGAAAAACTGTTCTTATTGTCATTTCCTTTAGGCTGTCTTATCAGCCTGTTGCCGTGGGTAGGATTATACTTAGTATTTTTACAGGCAGATTAGCTATGCTGTCAACAGAAATCAGTTTACTGTTTTGAGAGACTAATTTTTAGGAAGATAGTTGAGTCGTTATTATTTTTTACATCTTTTTTTATCATCAAGCCTAATTCCTACCTGTAACTTATTAAGTACAGACCAATACTACTTAAAAACGCTTTCTACATTTATTTACTGATGGCCAATAAATTGCTTAAACTTGCTGCTGATATTCAGATCATGGGTGGTGCTCGCTTTGAGGAGGATGTTTCTCCTTTAGAAAGAGATTTAGATCATTTGGCAAGTTTGGTGAATAACTGGCAGATGGAGTTTAATTATAAAAATGACACAATAATTCATGTTATCATAAATTACAAGTTTAACTTTGATAGAAATAATCTCAACAGTGTTATGGAAGAAAAGGATCTCAGTGCTTTACTTGATCAGTCTCTTAAGCCTTCAAACAGTATACTGTTGCTAGGTGTAGGGCAAATAAGTTGTATCTACAGATTTCTGAATATACGTACAAAGAGGTTATTTCATTGTGTAGGTAACTGGTTAGGCCTCATTTAAACTATTGTGTTCAAGACATTAGGACATTGAATTGTTAAGTTCAGAGAAAGGCTCCTAGGATATGATAATACCTCGGATGGAAATTTTATCATAGAAGAATAGGTTAAGATCTCTGAAATTGTTTTCTCTTGAAAAAAGAAGAGTTAGAATGGATTTGATTGAGGTGTAATGATAACTTAATTTGTTTCTTCAATAATGTCCGTTACAGCCACATTCACTTCTGTGTAAAGCTGGCCAATTTAATTGATATAATTGGTTAGTGTTATATAAACTAATATATTAATTGGAATCATTATTAAATTGATCAGTTGAAATGATTGTTTCTGATTGTTACTCTTTTGGATTATTCAAACAATCAATTAATCAAAATTATTTTTAACTCAACTGTCATAAAAAATAATAAACTTATTAAAATTAGTGATTTTCATTGCTATTATGTTTGTTTTTTTGTTACGCACAAATCTGCATGACTGAATATCTGTGGTGTACTTAGTTTTTGGCCTTAAGTTTTTTTTTTCTTCAAATTTGCTCAGCTTCAATTATTCAGGGGGGGGAGGCTTATGTTTAAAATGTCGTGGGTTTGATTTCCATTGCCACCGAACTTCCTTGCCCTATATCTGTTATCGAAAAGCTGCTAAGGTTTTCTGTCACTAATTTCGTATTGCTGATTAGTGGGAAGGCAACTGTCTGACGGCATCCACTGGCAATGTTTTTCTTTACCCCATTTCTTTCTTTTTGAAATGTGAAGTGAGGGGAAGGCAACTGTCTGGCAGCCACTTTTTTTTCTTGTACATCCTTTGATTTGAAGAACATTATTGCTACTCGTCACTAACTGGTTTCTTGTATTTATAAACAACACACCTTGTCTCTAGATATACCTCTGGATTTACTATATTCTTGACATCGTCAAAATGACAAACTTCTTCTAGCAAACATCTAAATTAAAACACTACAAATATAACTTACAACAGTATCAGTGTGTCATCTTTTTTCTTTATTTTTTCGTACGTGTGAGAATGGTAGGATGCAGACACAAATATAGATTTTTTCAGGGTAGGAACCGTTGTCAACTTAGTCTTACTTTTTTAACAAGATGTTTGGTCATTAGAATAAGTAACCTTCAGATGTCAAGGATGCAGTAAGTTTAAGGAAGTTTAATATTTAAGTGATCAGGGTTGGATTTTAGCTGTTTTTTTTTTAAAGTTGATGGAACAGTATTGATGACCAACAAGACTTTGTTGTCTGTAAATGTTATATGTTAACGTAGAATACTGCATGATGAGAAGACATTTCGGTAATTCATGTTTATGGGAATGGCAGTCTTGTCCCGGAAAGATTTTACCAGGTTTATCTAAGCTTTTATCATGTCATTTCAAAAATAATAATTACTCTATTTTAATAAATATCAACACTCAAATAAATCAAAATTGAAATTTCTTATTCGTATGTTATTTTACTTCTTAAAATAAAAATCAACTTTGTGTTTACTTAATGAAGTAGTGGTATTATTTTTTTATTTTTTTTTAAGATATATTGAAAAAATTTAATCTTTATTATTTTAATGTCAGGTTCTGTTCTTAAATGCCATGGGGAAGGACTATTACAAAATTCTTGGCTTAAGCAGAAATGCTTCAGACGAAGAAATTAAGAAGGCATATCGAAAGTTAGCTCTAAAGTTCCATCCCGATAAGAATAAAAATCCCGAGGCAGAAGAAAGGTTCAAGGAAGTGGCAGAAGCTTATGAAGTGCTAAGTGATAAAAACAAGAAAGAAATATATGATCAGTATGGTGAAGAAGGACTGAAAGGAGGTAGTGGAGGAGGTGGCGGTGGAGGTGGCTCAGGGCCACAGTTTACTTATACGTTTCATGGAGACCCTAGAGCCACTTTTGCCCAATTCTTTGGAACTGATAACCCATTTGAAAGCTTTTTTCTCAATGGGTGGGCACGGAGGGGGGCCAAATCTTTTTTTTATGGATGATGATATGAACATTGAATCTGATCTGTTTGCTTCACCCTTCGGAGTTAGTGGTCGTAATAACCCTTTCCGCTCCCAGAGTTTTACTGCAGGGAGCCCAAATTTGAATAGATCAAAGCCAAACAAGCAAGACCCACCGGTTGAACATGATCTTTATCTCTCTCTGGAAGAAGCCTTCAGGGGTTGCACTAAGAAAATGAAGATCAGTAGGAGAGTCCTAAACCCCGATGGTCGTTCAACACGACGAGAAGAAAAGGTGCTGACAATAAACATTAAACCTGGTTGGAAAGCGGGCACCAAGATTACTTTTCAGCGAGAGGGAGACCAAGGTTTCAGCACTATACCTGCTGACATAGTCTTTGTCATTAGGGACAAACCTCACTCAATGTTTAAACGAGAAGGCAGTGATGTTAGATATGTGATTAAACTCAGTTTGAAAGAGGTAGGTTGAATTTTATTTTCTTGGGCATTGACCGTAACAAATCAACATACATTTTCAAAGTTAAGTGTTAAGAACAAGACAAATGTTGGAAAGGAAATAGAATCGAAATTAACAAAATAAAAATGTTTATGACTATCACCCTTTTGTTTCAATAACATTAATACTTCTACAAATAATAGTTTGTTGAGCTTCAGAAAGTATAATCTATAAGTTTATTCCCAGAAAGAATTACTTATAGTTTCAGAGAGAAGTGTTATTGGTTTTGGTGACATTAGCTATAAGATGGTTGTTGTTCTTCAGTTTAATCCTAACAAATCCTTAAAATATGTTAATTCTTTACATTGGGGAAACACGTGTATGTTTGATCTTGATGGCGATGGTGACTTCTCATCCTGACATCTTCTTTTGTACCAGATTTGTTTTTAATATTTGTACCTATAAACTCTCCGAATAGCATTGAAATATTTTAACGTAGTGGAATCTGTTTTTGATTATAAAACAGTGAGATAGAAGTTGGTTTAATAATGTATCCTGATCTACCGGCCTGTTGCGAGCCTCTCTGAAAACATAAATGCAGATATATATTCAAAAAGCTGGTTTTTGTTGCATCACTTGTTATTTAGTCAATTCACCAGGTTTGCTACACTGGTCAATCATTGTGCTTTGTTAATGAATTTTTTAAGAAAACGGGCTGTGTATCTGCAATTACCTGGTGGTGGTGGGCTTGTAGTTTTACCTGTACAAAAACGTGTTGTCGAAGTTTAAATCATTTTACTGACGTTTCTAATTTGTTGTAAAATAAATATTGTTGATATAATAATCAGATTTTAGGCTCTAAAGTTGGTATTATTCATTTTGATTTGTTAGGCATTATGTGGAACTAGCTTTGATGTGCCTACCCTAACGGGAGAAAAACTGACCCTTCGTATCAAAGATGTCATTAAACCTAACATGGTTCGTCGCATCGTGGGGCAAGGTCTTCCATACCCCAAGGAGCCAAATCGAAGAGGTGACATGAATGTGGTCTTTGACATAAGGTTTCCTGACACTTTAACCGAATCCACAAAACAAATATTGTGGGATTGCTTACCTTAACTCTCCTAGACATGAAGATGAACATGAAATTCTTGTTGTTGCTTTATTTCAACAAATTCGTTTTGCACAGAGATAATGAGACCTCAACAATGATTGACTTTAAAATTATGTTATAACAACTTGTATGCTCATATTTTTTTTTTAATCAGTATCAAACCAGAAAGTCCTGTCACAGAAGATGCTAAGCCTATGTTATAGTAAATAATTATATATGTTGTACAATAAACATTAAAGACAGCAAAGTTGATCACTTGTTTAATGTAAAATTTTACAAGTATTAGTGTTTAATATTAGCTTTAAACTGAAGTACTGAACTTAGTTGTAGACTGCCTCATAAATGCTTATGTATTTATTATTTAGTTTTAACTGCAAAATACTTGGTGTTAAACTTACCAGGCAAAGAAGAAATTTCAATGACATTATAATTTAGAAATTTTAAGACTTACTTGAAATATACTTCAAAGAACTTGCTTTTTACAAAACCAATTTAAATTTTATATATACATTGATAATTAGATAATAAGAACGATAGTCACAAATACAGGTAATGGTCAAATTCCTGAGACATTTACAAAGCTGAGGATTGGCCATATTCCTGAGATTCATGCTAATAATTATACTTGCAAACATTGAGGGTGACAAATCTCCACGTGTATGTGATTGTAAAGTTTTGTTTTCCTTTAAATACATTTTATCTAACTAATATCACTGTGTAATATAATGTATTGGAGTAATTGTTTTACTCGAATTCTAATCAAGCAGTCATTCTAATAACTATTATTATTATTATCAAATAACTTAGCCAAAAATATTCCTGGTTAATGATTGTCACGCATACTACCATTCTGGCAGTCCCGAGTTTATCGGGAAGGCAAGCTAGGAAACTGCCTTGGGTGACAAAATCAATAAAAGTTTTATGTTGATCTTAATTTCAAGAGAATCAAATATTTTTTTTGCTTGCTGTGTCTTAATGAGCTTGAAGTTCATACAAACAGACTGTAAGATAATCAACTTAAAGATATAATACAAGCGTGTACTAAATTCAAGAAACTAGACCTTGAAGAAGTATTTCAACTGAAGAACTACCCGAGGAAAATCTTCTGAACCTCAACAGTTTGAAGTAAGGCAGATAAGTCTGAACTAAAAGTTTACTAAAAATTGTAACATTTTTCTAATTAATGTTATATATGTGTTCATCGATGATAATGTGCATGGAATAGCATTTTAAATTCTTGCCTAACTGTCAAAAATACAAAAGAAATTGGCTGTAAGTTACTATCATAGGATACTATAAGTGCCTTAGTAATGATTAAAAAACATTTTTTGTGCTGATATTGTATGTTAGAGAGTGTATTTTAGTGAATTTAAAATACTTTATAAAGTTTGTGGTTAAAAGGATTGCTCAAATGTGGTGTCTTTTTTCTCTTACAAAATTAGATATGGTTTATTACTTTTAGCATATATTTTTATTGTTATACTAACATTAATTTGTAAGACTAGTTTTTGTTGTTTGATAGTACATTTTTACAAACTAGTAGTGATATTGTTACTTAAACATCATGTACATTATCCATTTTAGAGATGTAAATAAATAAGTAATTTTATTTATTGTAAAAGATTATTGTTGATTTTTAATGTAACAGATTAGAAGTGCTAGAGTTTGTAAATAAATAATGATGCAGATTTAACAGAACTTTTCACTGTGTAATAGTTTTTTTTACTTTCCCCAAGCTTTCAAGGGTTTAACTTTTGGGATATTAGGCTTAACTGATTGGAAAAGAAATTGTTCATATCATCGTAAATTACAAACCTTAGATATACAGTGCTGCTATTCTAGAGCCGTACGATTGTTGACAAGGCTAACTTTAATTTTTCCATAGCAGTAAAGTCTACAGTTTTTATTTAAAAATACTCGTTCCCAAAGATGGCACTGACAGAATAGTGTTTACTGTTAGAGCTGCGTGTTTTACCTATTTACCCAACTGCATGAGAATTTCAAGAAAGTGAAAGCTACACTGACTGAGATGCATAATGACTGAAGTAGTCACAAATTTCACCCTTCCTCAGCTAGCATAGAATGCATTTGTATTCAGGTACATTAACATAATGTTTCTGAATTTCCTTGTAGTTGACGTTTCGTGGTCGTAAACATTTGCTAATCGTTTTACTCGGGAAAGACTACTACAGCTTTTGTCTTGGAATATCAAGCTAACTTTTAAGTGTTTTTGTATGGACTTATTAAGAAATAGCCTATTGACAAACAGGCAGTAAAGAAACCTGTACAACTAGCTTTGCTTAGCATTGGGTGTAGAACATTTGAACTTTGGAGATACCTGACTTTCTTTGTTTTACATGGGTATTTAGGTCGAATATTTCCAGAATTCTTTCTCCTTTCGATTTCACTGTTGTTGACACAGAAGAATAAGCTTGACCAACTTAGGTGAAATAACATTGTTTGTTAAAGAAAAAAAATTATGTTTAAAAATACACTTGTGTTTGCTTGTTTTCCTCTACTGTTCAATTTAATTTTTTGCATAACAGTCCTGAACTTGCATTTTTTGGAAACTTTTGGCTTTTCTGCTGGACATCTGTATACCTGAATACCACAGACTAGCTAAAAAAAGTAACATTTTAGTGCCACCACCAGGGTTTGTTCTTGCAGAGTTTATTTGGAATCTAAATCATCTATGATGGGATGTAGCTTCCTGAGACCACAAAATTTATAGCAGAGTTGAAGAAGCTTCAGTGATAATGAGGACTTGTCTGAGAGAGTAGCAACGTCTAGGAGAGGCAGTCTAGAGCTTTCACCAGCCACGTTGGGTGTGAGAGAGTAGCAACGTCTAGGAGAGGCAGTCTAGAGCTTTCACCAGCCACGTTGGGTGTGAGAGAGTAGCAACGTCTAGGAGAGGCAGTCTAGAGCTTTCACCAGCCACGTTGTGTGAGAACTGTCTGTCTTCCTGAAGACCAAGAAGTTGAAGAGAACCTAGCTGGGGAATCCAAGGTGACCCTAATGAAACCTGAAATTGTTACACTCTGTCTCCATGATCATAATGCAGTAGATAAGAGTTATAGTGGTAGCCTCTGTTGGTCACCAAGGTATTCGTTGCAAGGCACTTTGTGACATTACCAAGTGCTAAAGAAAGTAGTGAGATGCACGTGCTGGCTAAAGTCCTTCCATTTCATCGTGATGTCACCAGAAAAAGCAGATAGCATATTGTTATGATCCAGGGACTAAAAGTTTTGATCAGGAGCCTTCCAAGCCATTGGTGCATACTGAAAATGCTTCTAAACTGCTTACAGTGGCTGAGGACACTATGGGATGTGATGATGAAGTTTAGTGTAAAACACTACAATGAACACGTTAAGGTGTGCCAAGTCATCTTATTAAGCACTTTGTCCAAGGATGCCACATTTGTCAAGATGTGTGCAGCCCCAAACTTTGAAGCAGAGGAATTACCACAAACATCTCTGCTAGATTTTGGTAGAATAGCTGGAATTATAAAACCTATGGGTGCTACTTACTGGCGAAAGAATCATCCAAACTTACTAGTGAGGGAATGTCAAAGTAGGGGTAAAAGAGGAGCAATTAGGACAGTCACTTGATTGAAATATAATGGCGCTCCTTGTTTTCTAAACTATCAAGTAGTGTGTTTCACTCTACGATGTATGTGCAATACATTATGTGATAACCACTTGATTATTTTACATTTTAGGGCAGTTGGTTGAACAATTAACAATTGAAATGGCATTGCAGTCTTTACTTTCTGAAATATCGAGCAATATTTGCTAGTGGACTCGAAGAAGAGGAACTCTTGAGCTTGAATTTGGCAGAATAGCTGTAATTAGAAACCAGTGGGAAGCACTCAGTTGTGAGATAAAGCTAGTAAACCCATCACTTTGATTGAAAGGTCAATAACTGGTATAAAGTAGCTTTCCAAGCTGCCACGTGTTTCACTGTAGGATGAATGTGCAGAACATTGTGATAACCACTTGATTATCTGACGGTTGATTGAAACAAATGAAAGGTCATTGTAACCCTCATTTTCTGAGCTGTCGAGCATTATTTGGTAGACATTGGGATGATGTTTTATGACAACTGCTCGATTTATCTTAGAGTTTTAGCAGAGTTCCCTGTGTAGCAGATTGTAACAAAATCGTTATGACAGCTGAGATTGTTGGATGAAAATCTTGAGGATATTAAAGTTGAATTCAACTGTTAATGATAATCAGGGATTCTGACAAACCAGCCAAAAGGACTTTGCAAATCCTACTTTCAAAGCACTCGGGATAAAATTAATGGATAGTTACAAAATTATATAGAAAAATATCGCCCTCCCCAGTGGCTCAGTGGTATTTTCGAATGATTATAACACTAAAAACCGGATTTTTGTGTTCCTGATGGGCACAGCATAGTAGCCCATTATGAATATCAATCTAAAAAAACATGGCTAACCAATTGTATTTCTATCTCGTATGTCAGTAACAATTTCTAAACAGAAAATCTGGCCACACTAAACTTTAACAGAATTAGAGTACATCCCTAAAATGGGTAAAAAGAAAAACTGCTGGTGTCTTACTTCTAACGTTGTTTATGAAATTATACACCAAATTTGTGGGTTTATATATTGTTGCGTCAGCGAGGTCACGTGACTAGTATCACGCCACTTCTTTCTTGAACTTTCGTGAATTGTCGGGAGATTACTAGATTGGGGGTAGCTGGTATATATATAAGATGGTCACAACGTGACGGGACAGTGTGTGTAGGTAATGAGTAATTGAATGTATGCGGACAAAATATTGTTGGCCACGTGAGATATAGCGCGACTGTTGAAATTAAATGTATTGTAAAGTTGTATTCGGAAGAAATAAACCAGTTTTATTAAGAAAGGACTTGTGTCGCTAAAGTTTCGTCGGAACGAAGTTGCGGAAAATCAACTAACGACTGGAGACGTAACAATATGTATACTATTAAGTACCTCTTGTCTTGGTTATTCGTGGTTTTACTTTGGTCACCAAAGTAGTCACATGTGTTTTTCTTTAGAAGAGACCATTGTGGTCTGTTCTAGCAGCGAACAATCACATTGGCTCTCTGTCATGTGGATAGTGCATGTGCCTGAGAAAAGAAAACCTTGTATATAGCATTTCAAATTACAACCATCAATTTTACCATAAACTTATACCTGCCACAAATGTTTCCTATGTAATTTGTCCAAACATATTTCTTTGATTGCAGATACGTATA